ATTCAGTAGCCTTGGGAGGCTTTTTTAGAGTCTAATCTAAAGTTCCTTATAAAAGGTTCTAGGAAAGTCAACTAAATCAATGAGTATTCTTATGGGGCTTTGTGCAAACTACACACCAAATTGAGACTAAACTTATTATTATTTTTTTTGTAAGTAAATTAGTTTATACCTCTCTTTAGTAAAAGGGGGAATGGAGAGAGAAAAAATGGCTTTGAAGAAAATTATAGTGAGCTTGTTAGTGTACTGTGTTAGCTTTGTGCATAACTGTTTTTTTAGTTTTTCATATCTGCCTACTGTTCAAACAGAATCCTAGCCTTTTTTCCAGGCTTTCAGTCTTAAGCAAATTTTTCTTGACATTTTAAAATTTCGATTTATTAAAGCTAAAACTACTTTTCTTGAAATTAAAAATCTACATAAAAAAGCACAAAAATAAATAAATAAACATACCTACTTAAGGATTACAGTAAGCTATATAACCTCAGCTAACTGCTACTTTATAATATGTTCATTCTACTCATTGAGTTTTATGCCTAAAGTCAGATGTGTTCATAGATATGTTTATATCAACTGTACTTACTATTGAAAGTATTTAGTTTAATTAAGATATTTTTGGAATCAATAAAATGTGGAAAAAAAAAACCCACCATGGAATGCAACTGTGGATACCAGAGACAGTGGAGACAGTGTGGGAGGAGGGTAGGATGTGGCAGAGGGTGAGAGGGAGGAAATCAAGGGGGGAAAGAAAAAGAGAAGTAAAACACACAGGAAGCAAGAAATGGAAAATTATTTGTTGAAGATAACATGTATGGCAATATCTTTGATTGGGCCAATATACAGTGTATTCTGGATGGGAAAACTCATTTTGTACACTGCAATGATATACAGTGAATGAATGTAAAATAAATAAATTTAAAATTAAAAAAAGAAATAAAAAAGAGAAATGAGGTATGCTATAATTATTTTTTGAATTGTGATCAACCATATTTCTATAGGCATAGACACTTTGATGGACCATGATACAAAGAGTTTAGTCCAAATGTCAGAGACTGAGAACTGAGGGCTCTTACTCGTTTTCTACTTGAAAACTTTCTGAAGACTATTGGACGTTATTTTCCCTTTATTCTGAAAAATGTCTTTGCTTTTTATAGCTTAGTTTCTATTATTACTTTGCAATACATCCTATTCTATTCTATGTAGGATCTCAATGGTGTGGCTGCTTTCTCTTGATTACTTAGTTGGAGACCTGCTTTATTTCTTCTACTGTTCACTTTTTCAAGTAAACAGTTACATATGTTTTTTTTTTCCTTCTATTTTTGTGACTGCTATTTAACTTCCTTCAACTTCTATCTTTAAATTTGTGTCTGACTATTGACAGTAGAAATGAAAAATTTGGGAGTATTAATTCATCTGGGCTTATTTATACATCTTGAATATCTATGTTTTCTGAGTCCCATTAACCAACTGTAGGGCTAAATGGTGGATTGTGGTGAATAAAACCAGAAAGTTTCAGCTAAAGTTAACCCATCAGTTTAGCCTAGGTTTTTTATATCCAATAATTCACACATTTGACTACAAAAAAACTTAGTGACTTAAAAATAGACTCATTTGAATCCATGACTGGTTGATACCTTAAACAGAGTATCAAAAAGGTTGATAGAACCACTAGCGATAGAATTTCCTTTATATACCATTTCTTCTGTTTAAAGCTCACTTTCTTCCAATTCTAGAGTTAAGTTTTCTTCCTGTAAATCATTTTTCTTTCTTTATTATTTTTAAAATCACCAGAAAGGTATGTGTGCTTGGCAGAAATAGATAAAAAGACAGAAAGGGAGAAAGCACTCCCCAATGGGCCCATTGTGTTCATGCCTCAATCTCTTATCCTCCATTTCTCCATCCTGTTGGGACCTCAGGCATACATTTTCAATAACAACCAAATCTGGGCTGACCCTCATGGCCTTCTGGCTAGAAATTAGATCTCACATGGCCTACTGCAATTCAAATTCCATCTGTAGTAGTTTGAAAAACATTCTGGGCTCAAGCACATGCATGCCTAAAAATCTCAACAAAATGGAGAAGTGGAGAAGTAAGGATTGTGGTATGACCATATCTAGCTGGGGGCGGGGTGAGGGGTGGGGAAGGTGTGCTTCATTTCTCTCTCATTCTTTCTATTTCTCTCTGGAGAACATATGCATATGCTGACAGTTTTAGAACAGAACATACAAAGAAAAGCAAAATCAGAAAGAGCTCAATTCATCTACTTAAGAGTGCTACCTGATCCCAGGATACCTCTGCTCCCTCATATACTTTCCTGGAACTTAGATATTGCATACAGGGCAGCTGATTCTATATATAGGTGCCAAAGTTGTCATCTCAGCTGCATTAGGTAGAGTTATTACTTTCTTGTTTCACAAGAAAAGAAGCCATACATTTGAGTCAAAAGTGGTAATAGTAATATGATGATAATTTAAAAGTAACCACTGCCATATGTTAATTATTTTAAGCTCTAGGGTTGAGGACAGGTGACTGCCGTAGATTTTTTTGTCCTCAGGTCCCACTAAGAGCTTTTCATGTTATCATCTGTCACCTCTTAATCCTAGTGAGCTTCTTTCCTCATATCTTTTCACCTATTTTGTATTGTCTATTTCTTGTTTCAGATTATTACAGCATTTTTCAGGGTTTCTTGGCTTCATTGTTACCATTATCTTGGATACTTGGATGAGAATATCTTCTTGTCTGTCCTGATTTTTAGAAATGTAGTTTCTAAGTGTGTGTTAGGAGAAAAGGAGCTCTGTGGCTGAATTACTATTAAACCCTTTCATATTCTTGGCTGACATCTCCAATTTTACGTAGGCAAAGAAATTAGCTTTTAGAATATTTGTTCATTGGCTTATTTAGGGGATATGAGTGAAGAAACTTATGATTCCTATAATCAATAATAATCTAAAATATTTTTTTTACACATTTTGAGCAAAGTAATGAATGTCCATTCCATATTACTGATTCATTTTCTTTTCAGAATTTTATATTTGTTATAAATAAAGCTTATAAACATGTTTGAGGCTTTCCCTATCTATATATTCCAGGAGCTTGATAATTTTAAAATTTCAAATAGGCAGCTTTGAAATTGCATTTTTCTTAATGCATTTAGATCAGCCAGTTGTCATAACCTATTGCACTAAGTTGCCTTTCATTAATAACTTATCACTCTGGATTAGACTATGAGAAATAAAAGTTCAATAATAGCTATAGGAATTGACTGAAAGACTCACAAGACCTGAAATAATCTTGCACTGTAACATTTATCTGTAGTTATATGATATTAATAAGGCAATTAAAGCTAAAAAGTCATCACCAGCTTGAAATTAAGAAATTTAATTTGTGACAGCCTCTTTCCTGAGAGCATTTAACTAGAAGATGGCCCAGTGGGTGATAGATCTTCAGGTACTGGACAGATCAGGAGACTTGCCTTATAAGTGTAGAACTAACGAACACTTGTATCCCACCAAGTAGAAAGCTGTTAGGGACAATTCATTTCACTTTGCCATATAATGATGGTCATATGTCTTAGGAACTTCCTTAGGATTTTGCATTGGTTTAAACTCCTATAATATGCAACTGTTTTCTTAAAATATTATGCTATATTTAGCAATAATATTAGTTTTGTGAAAACCTGCTTAAGTAATTGCTATTGTGACTGGAGATTGGACAAAAGTTGTGGGAAAGAACAAAAATATCAAAATGGCTACATTAGAGAAAATGGTTTTTGTCCAGGTATGGTATATGGTGGATACTGACTCAGAGACTCTGAAGACCTTCACAAATTCAACTCTAGGTATAGGATTTGACGTTGCTTCCTGTAATTCCACTTAAGTCAACTAGAATATGGGGGTCAGAAATAAAGTACCTTTTAGTGGCAGATAAAATAGTCCAGGGGTGAACAGGTGGCATGAGGGTTAAGGTAACTGGATCCCACATAGCTAACTGTGTAGTTCAAGTCCCAAATCTGGTGGCTTGAAAAACATGCTGGGCACATGTACATGTGAGCTCAAAATCTCAAGAAGAGAATGGAGGCGAAGGGGTTGCAGTGTTGCCATCCTCCCTGGGAGGGTCTTTCTCACTTTCTCTCTTTGTCTTTCTCCAACAAGTGTGCATAACCTATAACAAAACTTAAAAAAAAATGCAGAAAATCTGATGGTACAAAGGTGGTTGGCATTTTTGCCTTTTAGGAAAAATAACTTACTTTAACAAAACCACTTTTTAATAGTTTTATATGTTCATCCCAATAGTTTCAAAAATGTTTGAAAAATAGTAACTTTCCAGGATAAGCCTACATTCTATATCCATTTTACACTGATTTAGCTTTCTGTCACCTCTTGAATTTGTCCTTATTTTCTCATAGCTGAAGCTAAAAATTTTATTCATTTATCACTTTGCCTCGCTACTGTGATTCTTTTATTTTTATTTATTTATTTTTTAATTTATTTTTTATTTTTATTATCATCATAATCTTCTTTATATTACATTATAACTTCACAGTATATTACATTGCTTTTTCAACAGGGCAATTCTTTTATTTTTGTTTCTTCCTCTTTAATGGTGTTTTGTTTTAGGAAAAAGGGGTTAGATTTATAGCCTCAGGAATAAATGGTGTCTCTTTTGAAAAACAGAGTAAATATTGTATGGATAGTGAGCATGTTTGTGTAACTGCAGGCAAAGACCTATATCTGCTCTGGCAGTCTCTTCAGCAGGTAGACTCCTGCAAGCACTTGCTAAAAATTTCAGTGTCAAAAAGAACAGCCAAGAAAGCAAATGAAGACCACATTTTGGCTAAATGGAAAAACCACATAATAGAAAAAGGAAGCACAATTATTTCTTCTCTTGGTAATAATGGAATTGGAGCATTGGAGCAGAGTCCATCTAATTGTCAATCTTGGATGTTCAGTATTTGGGAATGTTTTCAATAAAATTTGTTTTTGTGTGTGATTTCTTTATAGCAACAACAACAAAAACCCCAGAGGATTCTGTCTACAGATGAATTTTAGACCAATTTTAGAAGATACAGCATATAAACATAGAACTCCGCCCTGCATAATAATAGTTAAATTAGCAAGGGAGGTTCCAAATTAATGGTGCAAAAGGTAAGTACTTTAAGAATTCAGTCAGAAAAGTTAACATCTAGATAAGTGGATTAAAAAAAAAGATTTATGGAATAGATAGAACTTGACCTTAACCTTGAGCAATGAGTGGGCTTTCTGATGGATATAGGGAGATTAAATGATAAGGAGAGGCGCTAAAGGTGCAAATATGTAGAGGGTGAAAAGAAGAACCTGTTCTCAGGTTAATCTGATGCTACAAAAAGTGGTTGGTGATCTCCAACTGCCAACACATGATAGAACAAATGGAATCTAGCTGTGGAGACCCAAAAGAGGAGGAAGTCAACTTCTGCTATGAGGAAAGAATAATGGTTAAGTGAGCATGTTTTAAATGATTATTTTTTTCTCCTATGAGAAGATAGTAAAAATTTCCCTGTTAAGTGAGTTAACTGAGCAGAGGTGTTTAGGAAGGTACAATTTTAGAAGGAATGAAGCCAATTTTAGAAGGAATGAGTTAGCTATGATGGTTTGCCTCAGGATACTTTGATGGCAGAATTTATTCCATCTCACATAATTCATATCCAGAAATGTCATTTAAGATTGGGTTAGAGAATCTTAAAATCATTTTAAAATAGGAAGAGAGAGACAATAAAAATTCTATCACTGTGCCTCTCTACTAGTTTCCTTACCTCAGTTATAAGTTGGATCTTTACAGCAGCTTTATGAGGTAGGTGTCATTATGCTCATTTCACAGATGAAAAACTTTAGCTCCAAAGAGGTTATCTGGCTTACCTGATGTCCCACAAATATGGGGTAGCAGAGCTGGGGCATAAATTCAGGAGACTGACTTTGTATTCATGCTCTTTCCTCTAACTTACACTTCCTGCTCTTGTTTTCAGGGTACAGTGTACGAAACAAAGAACAATGATCTCAATGCTTATATATTGTTTTCCTCACAGCGGATAATCATTGTACACAACAATTAAGTGAAAAACAGAGGTGAGATGGTATATAATTAAGTGCCCTCTGCAAGTTCAGGTTCTAAGTGAGTTTTAGTAGATAGATATGGTTTCTACTTCTTTCTCATTTGTCTCATCAACAAGCTCTACAATCCCAGTCATGTATAGTTTTACAGTTTACACAGCAACTCGGAAATATTTTTGAAATAAAGTTTTGCAAAACTCACTAATAAGGAACAGAGTATATGAAATTTTTCTACTTTGTTGGGAAAATATATTTAGTATATATGTTTTATATATTCTGTCTTACAGGATAGTCTAAAATTGCACTGTAGATAGAATCCTGTTTCTCTGTTTTTTATTTATTTTATTTTTTTAGTTATATAAAGAAATCACCCACAAAAACAAGTTTTTTGAGATTCAAAAGGTGCTAAATGACAGAGTTAGCAATATGTTCTAGGCTGTTTTGTAGCCAATGACAGAAAATATCTGAAACTAGGTGATTTATAGTAATAGTTTATCCAGCTCATTATTTGGAGGTCCGACATCCAGGGACCAACCCTAATAGGGGTCTTCAGAATGTATGACTGAATTGCAGAGGGAGCAGTCTCTGGTCTGTGTTCCATGTGTCTCTTTCTCTCATTTCTTCTCTTTATAAACCCAACAACTATGACTCTGGGGGCCCTGCCCTGATGACCTTAATCTTAATCTCTTCCCCAAAGCCTCACCTTTCACACTATAATTAGATCAACTCTTCACCCTTTTTTTTTTTTTTTTTTTTTTGGAGAGGTTTTTGCTATAGGGCGCATGTGCTCGCCAGACAGAGAGATAGAAAGCGAGAAATCACCCCCCAGGGGAGATGGCCATGCCGCAATCCCTTCTCCTCCATTCTCCTCTCGGGATCTTGGGCATGCACGCACACGCGCCCGGCGTGAGTTTAAGCCACCGGGTCCTGGACGCGAACCGCGGTCGACTACGTGGGAGTCCAGCGACATAGCCATTACGCTAACTGCTGGTCCCAACTCTTCACCCTTTTAATCCCATTACATTGGCTCCACATTTTAATTTGGAGGGAACATATTCAAAACACAGTACAATTGAATCCGACTTTTGTTACCAAGTCTAATGGTATGTTTTTAATTCCTACAGAGAGTCCAAATGCCAGCACTAAATAACCAATTTGGCTTTTGGAAAGATTAGTAAACATGATCTGTTCTCTTTCCTTTGTATTTGCTCATTATGTCTATGGCAGCTTGAAATTATTTTCTGAATTCCATTCAAAATATTTTCCTCCTTACAATAATTTTTTTGGTCATTTTCTACTCCAGAATAATACATATTACCCAAGTAGTTATCCTTGGAATGGTTCTCAGCTTACATTTCTAATTTCTTCTATAGTTTCAATTTATTTTAGTTTGTTGGGAAAGTCATGACGTATTTTTCTATGTGAAAAATGTGTCTTGACTTTCCCTGACAACCCAATAGTTTTTGAATTTTTCTATAAATCAAGACTACCATTCCTTACACTAAACAGGATAAAAGAGTGTTGACAACCTTGATACTGGATATGAGGAGTAGGAGCCTATGTGTCAGTGAAACGATCTGTATGCATTTCCTCCCTCTCCTCCTTCCCTCCCCCTTCCTTCCTTTCTCTTTCTTCCTTCCTTCCTCTTTCTTATTTTTCTTTCTCTCTCTCTCTCTCTCTCTTTTTTTTTTTTCCCCAAACCAGGTCTATGTTGATGGGCTGCCTCAAACTCTTGATGTTAGGCCTGTCTCCTGAGTAGCTGGAATTAAGGCAAGCACCACTACACCTGGCCTGTATGTCCTGTTTGTTTTTATCTAAGTCCAGTCAAGTTTATTTACAGAGTATTTCACAAAGGAGATCTTGTTTGCATAAATTCTACTGTTCTTGCTTCATGAATAGGAGTCTGCTTTTAGAACTAGATGAGGTTATAGACTGGATTGGTATCTCCTTTAGACTTCTCATTTTTAGCACTCAGGACATTTTCAAGCCGTTTAGAGACTCCCACAATTCTTTCCACAACCTTTGCACCTTGGTAGCCCAGCTATCCTTAGCCTTGCCATGGAAAGCCATGTGTGGAAGTCAAGGCCAAATCATTTGGCTTTCTCATACCCGAAATCAGACTCATTGTAGGAAGTGGGTGACAGCCTGCTTGCGGAGAAAGAGAAAGGACATTTGTTTCATATTCATTCTAGGGTAATACCGAGCCAGGCTCGCAGGGCCCTCTGTCACTGCATTCTCCACTGTTAATTCTTGTAGGGGAAAAGCCTATAGGAAAAACTGACGTGTTCTCTTCTCAGATCTTAGCTGGGAAAACTTAAGAATCTTGAGAGGTATGACTACTGGAAGAAAAGTAGAGAATACAACAGCATCATTCTTAGCATTAACTATATTTAAATGCATTCACTAGTCTAGGAGAGTTCTCACACACTAATAATAAAATGAAAAATTTCTTCAATGAGAAAACTACACTTTGATTCCAAGATTAAATCTAAATCATTGAAAATTAAGTCACAAAGGAAAGATTTCCTGTGGCTCTGTGTTATCACAGGACTCCTTGCAATTGAAAAGGAAAAATGCAAACACAAAGAGTTATCTCAAGAATACATGTGAGGAATGAATATCAAAAAAGAATCAATAGGAAAAATTACCTCCCCTAAGCACAGTGTCAAGGAAAGCCTGTTAAATAAATAAATAAATAAATAAATAAATAAATAAATAAATAAATAAAATAAAATCATAATGCCTCTCTCTGGGGAGGATATGTAGAAGCAAAGTCAAGCATTTCTAAGACTAGAGGAAACTATATCAAAAATTTAAAGTAAAATTAATAATCTAGCTGACAAAGACCTATGGAAGGTGTTTATGTGTTCCATGGGGGAAATAAAATCAATGAAAGAATGAACATATTGCATTTATACATAACACATGCTTTATGCCATTGTAGTCCCAACACTATATTTCTGTTATTCCAAATGATTAAGGACTCACTGTGGTCCATTAAGTTTTTCTTTAGATGTTGATACTGTAGAATAACAATGAATATTTTGTTACTATTTACTCTGAAAGGCTTTGAGAATAAACTTCTTGAATACTTTGAGAAAAGAATGATAACTATACCTTGCAAGTTTTATAAATATACTTTTAAAAACATTTTACTATTATTTTTTTCTCTGAGAGAGCAAGAAAGACAAATAGAGACAGAAAGAGAGAGGTACCCATAACAAAATTCCCCTTCCATGATCTACATCCAGCCTCAGCCGGCTGGGTTGTGGACATTAACATGTTCCTGACATGTATGTTTGCACCTCAGGATGCAAACATAGAAATTTCTCATGTAGCTTCAGCCTCACTGTGTGTCGTGTTACTGCTTTACCACTGTGGCTGGTCCTAAATATACTTTTTCTTTAAGGTTGCTTAAATAGGTGTTTTTAAAAGGATGCAGGTTAGGGAACCAGCAGTTAGCGTAATGGCTATGTCGCTGGACTCCCACGTAGTCGACCGCGGTTCGTGTCCCGGACCCGGTGGCTTAAAACTCACGCCGGGCGCGTGTGCGTGCGTGCCCAAGATCCCGAGAGGAGAATGGAGGAGAAGGGAT